CCCCCCGCTGCCCCCCCCCCCCTCCCCGCCGCGCGCCCACCCTTACCCGGTGCTGTATGCACCGCTCTGGGCACCACCCAACAGTCCCGCCTCGCACAGAGACGTCCAGCGTCCCCGGCCTCGCGTCTTCATCTAGAGACGGCGAGACGAGTGCGGACAGCCACCAGAGCGGCGGCGGTGACGTCATCCAGACCAGCGACCCCACAATCTGTCCCCTCCACCCCCCCCTCAAGGACTGCCTCTCCAGCACCACCTAAACCTGCCTTGTCCCAGCCTAGGAACAACGAGGCTAAAGCCAAGGGGCTGGCCCTGACTAAGGCCATCGTCTCTCCACGATGTCCCACCGCTGTCCCCGGGCGGGTCCCCGGGGGCAACGCTGCCCCCTATGCCTCCAACAAAGGCAGTCAGAAAACAACAGCCTCGGCACAGACAGCAGGGAGAAAACCAACCAGCAGCACCGCGTCCACATCGACACCTGGGACACCTGGACCATCGACACCTGGACCATCGACACCTGGGACACCTGGACCATCGACACCTGGGACCGACACCTGGGACCATCGACACCTGGGACACCTGGACCATCGACACCTGGACCAGCGGCAGGACGAGTCCTGGTTCCACAGAAATCCACGGCCAACGTGGTGGCGGTGAAACCTGAGTGGAGCGTCAGCAAGAAGACGCTGCCGTGCAAGAGCAGGAGCGAGGACACCTACTTTCAGATGAACACCAGGAGGAGGATGAAGACATGAGGGGACACGGTGCGTCCTCCCCCAGAACCAGCACTAAACTGACAAACACACGTTACTACTAACACTACTGCAGTACACAGAAGTACTCATGTCCAAACGGTCTTTCTGACAGGACGTCTCCTGGACAAACGCTGCTGGAGTTTGGTACAAACATTCAAATGTCACAGAGGACACTGAGGACACTGAGGACACGTGTCTCCACCTCTGCTCCTCCCACTTTACTGGAAGCTCAGTGTCATTTTCTATAGAGATTTTCAGACGGGTCACTAGGGGGCGCTGTGTCAGGAGACTTTCATCCTGCCGTGTGCCTTCATCAGTGTATAGATGTATGTATATCTACACATACAGTATATACACACATATATATACATATATATATGTCAGAATGTATTTGAGGCCTGGTGGTGTTAGGGTAGTACTGCACATACTAGTTCACGTACTCAAAACTTTGGTTTCTGTTCAAACTACTGATCAAATGTTTTAACAGGTTTTAACTCGGTTCTAGTTTTTGTGTCGTTTTTTCTCTGATGATTTTCTACCTGGTGTTGAATGTTTGAAGTACATTTACGGTGTATTTGTTGTTGTTGTTGTTGTTGTTGTTGTTGTTGTTGTTAGCACTTTACTGTTTGTTTGTTTGTTTTTTATTGTCGACACTTGTTGTTCTATTGTCTCTGTTTCTTCTTGGTTCAAATGAATAAATGGACGGCTTTTAAAAAAACCCTCTGCTCTCACTGCTGTGGTTGATGGTTCCTCTGGTCACTGCAGTGACGTCATCAGAACAGAAAGTACGGTAGTTGAATAAAAACAGTTAAAGCGTCAAAATGTTCTCACGAAATATTTTTCTACTAGCGTTATTGACATGAAATGTCCACCAGGGGTCAGTATCAACACAACATCAGTAACGTTTTCAGTTCATTTTCCTCATGTCACGTGGCATCTTAAAAGGGGGGGTGAAAGGTCACCGCAGCAGAAATCTATGGTAATTAGGAAATCTGACAATTAATTATAGCTGGTTTGGTTGTTCACCAGCAGGGAGCGCTGTTGGGAGACAGGATTCTGATGAAGATTTGTAAAGAACTTCAGAAAGACCTGGAACTTTCTGTCCACATTTATTAATGATGTCACGTGTTGACAGTGAATGCATTCGTGTGTTAGAAGATAAAAACTACCAGAAGAGAGAGGAGCGGGTGAGAGAGGAGCGGGTGAGAGAGGAGCGGGTGAGAGAGGAGCGGGTGAGAGAGGAGTGGGTGAGAGAGGAGCAGGTGAGAGAGGAGCGGGTGAGAGAGGAGCGGGTGAGAGAGGAGCAAAGTCTCAGTTTCTGCTGCAGAACTTTTTTTTTTCTAAAACATTTTAAAATCCCATTTGTGGAAAATACAAATCAGTTTTTGTGGCACCGACATCAGAAGTGGTTTAAAAAAGAAGAATCTGTTCCAACTGTTCTACAGCCTGGTCACCTACGACCCCACCCCCCAGCCCACCCCCCCCACTCATCATAACATGTAGTGCATATCAAGGGTCAGGGGTCAACCCGTCCATCTTCTCCACAGGACCTTGGATCGGTACCGTCCATGTGAGTACCTCTACTGTTAACGCCTGGTTCTGTGCCTTAAAAACCTGAGGGTAAAAATCATCATCTCTTCCGGCGCCCTCTACTGATTAGTAGACGTGACTTCAGTGCAAACTCAGCAGAAGCGACGGACGACGACGGTTTAGCAGCGACGTGAGTCGATAAAAACGCAGGTGAAGAAGTTTTTCATCTTTTTCTTCAAGATAAAAATGTTCTTCCACCAAAGTGAAGTCTGTCAGAATAAAAGTCTACCTGAGGAGCTGCCGCCTCCGCCACGGCACTGAGGTCAGAGGTCAAACCACCACCTTCATCCCCAGGTCAGAGGTCGACGGGTGGTCACAGCAGCAGCGGCGTGTGCTCTCCCGCCGGCTCCATGCGTTTGGTCAGCTGCCGCGCTCGGGCCAGCAGGCGGTTCGGCAGCGGAGGGAAGTGGTGGCTGGGGTCCAGGACGTTGGTCTTCCGACGCTCGCGCTCCTGCAGCCACATCAGGTACGGACTGGGAGGGAAGAACGGCCGCGAGCGCTCCCTGTAGAGCTGCAGGACGACGCCGGACACGCCCAGCGCCGCCCACACCGTCATCAGGACAAAGTCTGCAGACAACGGAAGAGACAGACAGGCTGCGTTAGTGACCTTTGACCTGACACGAGCCCGGGGTCAAAGTTCAGACCTCACCGATGGTCTGGAAGGGAACGTCCGTGAAGACGGAGCTGTAGTTGTTGTTGAGGAGGCGTTTGAGGACGTTCAGAGTGATGAAGGACAGGCTGGTGTACATGTAGGCGTTGACGGCCAGGATCACGGCGTAACCGCCCACCACGCCACACGTGCTAATGTTGCCCTGCAACAGAACTACAGGGTATCACATGTCCTCCATGAGGGACAGGTCAGAGGTCAGAGTGGAACTCACTACCGTCCTCCAGTGGTCACAGCCGTTCAGCTGAACGTCAACGTCAATTCAAATGATTCTTATGAAATCTGAATGTCCTACGTCACCATGGTGACAGGACTTGAACCCTCACCTCTCTGGGCCAACGCACAAGGACCAGCGGCACAGTCAGCATGATGCAGCAGAACGTCACCCAGTAAACCGCGTCAGACTGTCGGAACACGTCCATGTCACCTGTGAACAGACGATGGCACGCTGTAAACAACAGTCATCCAGACCACAGCCCGCTGTAAACAACCGTCATCCAGACGACGGCACGCTGTAAACAAAAGTCATCCAGACGACGGCACGCTGTAAACACAGTCATCCAGACGACGGCACGCCGTAAACAACAGTCATCCAGACGATGGCGTACTGTAAACAAAAGTCATCCAGACGACGGCACGCTGTAAACACAGTCATCCAGACGACGGCACGCCGTAAACAACAGTCATCCAGACGATGGCGTACTGTAAACAAAAGTCATCCAGACGACGGCACGCTGTAAACACAGTCATCCAGACGACGGCACGCTGTAAACACAGTCATCCAGACGACGGCACGCTGTAAACAACAGTCATCCAGACGACAGCACACTGTAAACAACAGTCATCCAGACGACGGCCCGCTGTAAACACCAGTCATCCAGACGACGGCACGCCGTAAACAACAGTCATCCAGACGACAGCACACTGTAAACAACAGTCATCCAGACAACAGCACGCTGTAAACAACAGGCATCCAGACGACAGCACGCTGTAAACAACAGCCATCCAGACGACGGCACGCTGTAAACAACAGTCATCCAGACGATGGCGTACTGTAAACAACAGTCATCCAGACGATGGCGTACTGTAAACAACAGTCATCCAGACGACAGCACGCTGTAAACAACAGTCATCCAGACCACAGCACGCTGTAAACAACAGTCATCCAGACCACAGCGCGCTGTAAAGAACAGTCTTGATTGTCCTTCGACTGTTCGTACCCAGAGGAGTGAAGAGGACGATGGAGGCCACGACGAAGCCCAGCATCAAACCCACCACCACGACACAGGCCATGACGGAGCCGAACCTCCACCAGCTCATCACCAGGACGACACCGCCCAGGACGCCGACCACCGCGGCCAGGGCCAGACGAACTGTGGAGAGAAGAGTCAGGAGGTCAGAGGTCAGAGGTCAGAAGGCCACACGAAGAGCAGAGGAGACGCCTACTGTTGTAGTCCAGGTCTGTGGTCCGCGTGATCAACACGAACAAGAAGAACGCTGCGAAGCTGAAGCCCATGCAGAACAGTTCTGTGGGACAGAGTGAGTGGGCGGAGCCTGAGTACCAGTGTGTCTGGAACCAATACATCTGCTATAGTACTGCAACAGTACTGCAACAGTACTGCAATAGTACTGCAACAGTGGAAAAAACACTCCTCACCACATTTGAAAAACCGATGTCCAAAGAAGCAGATGAAGAGTCCGACCAAACCGATGAGGGTGAAGAACAATTTAGTTGATACTTTTCCTGGAAAAAACAAAACAGAAATGAACCGTTTTTAGAACCGTTTGTGAAAAGGTTCCTCGAAAGAAGTTGACCTTAAACCTCAACACCACGTACCACCGTCTCCCAGTACCCCCAGTTTGACCAACATCAGACCAGTACTGTTTATGATTATTAGACCCCGTAAAATGAAGTAGTACTACAAGTACTATTTCAAATCAATTATGGAACTACACACACACACACACACACACACACACAAATCCTATGAAAATACACAACTGTTGTTTTTCTTTTAGTACCACTAGAGGGCGCTGTAGAGCGCATATAATTAGTAAACCAGTGTAAGAGTTCATCTCTTACGTCACAACATCATTACTGTGAGAGGATGACCTCTGACCTGCCCCTTCCCAGAATTCCTTGCCCATCAGAAGTATGTTTGAACCCGCAGTAAACAGTGACCAATTAGACGGTCAGTGACCAATTAGACGGTCAGTCAGTTCAAGTACTGACAGTAAACAAGTTAAACGGAACCGATGAGCTGAACAATCGGTTCCACTGCAGCTCAGCTGCTTTTTTATTTATAGTTCAGTGACTTTGTGTCCACAAAGGATGATCAGTGACAACAGCAGAGTTCCTCAACCGCCGGGGCGTGGGCCCTTTGGTACCGGAGTCATGTGACCACAGCGAGACGGGGACTGACCTAAGGTGTGGCAGCCGTCCATGGTGGAGGCAAAGCTGCAGGCGTAGGTGTGTGAGGGCACGTAGGAGGAGGAGGTGTTCCACAGGGGGTCTCTGACGACGACGGAGTAAATGACGCCCTGGCCGGGGATGGAGTTGAACACCGCCATGGTGACGTCAGAGGACAACAACGTCATGACCTGTAGGTGACGGTGTGAGCACACGTCAGCAGACTGAACATCAGATGACAACAATGTTCCGCTCTCTTACTCGTCTGCCTCGGGCCTCCATGCCGCGGGCGTCAGCCACGGCCTGGAGGCTGCGGAACAGGCTGCTCTCTGATAGGTCGTTCTCTGGCAGGAAGTACTGGTAGATGTCGTAGCGGAGCCGCCAGTGAGTGCTGAACTCTGCAGACTCGTCACAGAGGGGAGGAGCTTGACCTCTGACAGACAGGATGGACAAAGACGGTCATGACTGTTCCCTGTTCAACAGTCAGCAACAGTCACACAGACTCACCTCCCAGTTCCTATGTTTGCTGGGGCGAAGTGAACGGTGGTCTCGTAGAGGTTGTAGTGGATATAAACGTTGGGGTCGATGTCCAGGTTGAACTCCATGTTACAGCCTCCAGGGACGGGGTCTGCAGGAGGACAGTCAACAACAGTCAACAACAGTCAACAACAGTCAACATCAGTCATCACCAGTCAACACCAGTCAACACCAGTCAACAACAGTCAACACCAGTCAACAACAGTTAACAACAGTCAACACCAGTCAACACCAGTCAACAACAGTCAACACCAGTCAACAACAGTTAACAACAGTCAACACCAGTCAACACCAGTCAACAACAGTCAACACCAGTCAACAACAGT